TCCATCAACCCAATTTCAAGATTTATTATATAGTTACAATAATAATAGAGTGCAGTTTCAGAGGACAGAAAGACACATAGTCCATGGAATACAGGAGACAACCCCAAAATAAATCCATGCCAATATGCCCAATTAATATTTGAGAAAGGAGTAAAAGCAGTTAAAAGCTTTTACATCAAAGCATACTGGAACAATTGGATACCCAAGGACTAAAAATAAAAAATGAATCTTGACATAAACAAAAATTAAAAATGAACATAAACAAAAATGAACAACCATAAGCATAAAAAAAAAATACAAAATGAACCTTGACATAAACCTTGCACTTTGCAAATCACAATAATCAACAAAGAACGTCTATCTAGAATATACATAGAACTCTTAAAACACAATAATAATTAAAAAATTCAAATTTAAAATGTGTGAAAGATGTGCACAGCTGTTTCATCAAAGAGGATACACAGAAGCCTACACATAAGTGAACATGGTACATTTATTCTTAATAATGAAAAACTGGAAAATACCCAAATGTCCTTCAGTAAGTGAATAGCTAAACAAACTATATTACATTCATACCGTGTAATACTACTCGACAATAAAAAGCAAATAACTAATACATGCAAAACTAAAATGAATCTCCAAGGAAATTGTGCTGAGTGAAGAAAGCCAGTCTCAAAAAGATACGTACTTCATGACTCCGTTATATAATATTTATGTAAACATAATTATACAGATGGGAGGCCAGGTGTGGTGCCTCATGCCTGTAATCGCAGCATTTTGGGAAGCCAAGGTGGAAGGATCACTTGAGCCCGGGAGTTCAAGACCAGCCTGGGCAGTATGGTGAAACCTCGTCTCTACAAAAAATAAAAAATTAGCCAGGCATGGTGGCATGCACCTGTAGTCTCAGCTACTCGGCTGAGGCAGGAGGATAGCTTTAGCCCAGGAGGTCGAGGCTGCAGTGAGCCATCATCGTGCCACTGCACTCCAGCCTGAGTGTCAGAGCAAGACCCTGTCTCAAAAAATAAAAAATTATAGAGATGGAGAACGTATTAGCGGTTCCTAGGGGTTAGGACTGGAAGTGGAGAGGGAGGGCAGAGCCCTATATGGGTACCATGGAGTATTGTGATGATGTTACATTTAAGTAAGTTGGTTGTGGTTGTGTTATACAAGGCTATACACAAGACAATGTTGCATCCCAGGAAACCCCTCAATCCCTGGCAAACCTGACAGCTGTTCACCCTAGCAGATGGCCCTCTAGTAGAGGCCATGGTGCAGCCCTTGCATCTCTGAGGAGAAATTTGGGCTTCACCCAGTGAATAATCCAGATCCTCTGGTTGCTTAGGAATGAGAGCTTGTAGGGGCCAGAACAGACACAAGAAGGAGCTACTGCATCACTGGGGCAAGAAATGAGGGTGGCCCCATGTTGGTCAATGGGCCAGATGTTCACCAAACTCTTGCTTTGCCTCCTGTGTGTTGTCTAGCACATGGTTGGACTACATTTCCAGCCACCCCTACAAGAAGGTGTGGCTATGTGTCTTAGTTCCAGCCAATGGCACATAGGTAGACTATCTCTGTACTTCCCATAAGTCCTGCCCTTTCTAGGTGAGCTTTAAACCAGGTACTGAACAGGGTGGAACACAAGCTGAAAGGAACCCGTTCCTGCTATCCCACGAAGAAGGATCTGCTGATCAGGAACACATGCTATGAGCTTAGTGTGTTTCAGCTATTATACCTGTGACAGTGGTGCCTTAACTGACACTGCTTGGGTGCACACCCCCCTGGGCATGCCATCAGCATTGCTAGCCTCCCTGGGCACCTGTATTGGGGTAGGGGAGCTAGATAACAGATGGAGATGCCCAGACAGCCCCCATAGTTAAAGAGAACCAAACACCCTCTGAGCATCTCAGGGCAGGAAAGGGCCCTGAGTTCTGGGCCTTAGAACCTGAGAAACATCTGATTCTGGAAGCACTAAAGGGGCTCTCACAGAACACAAAATCCCATCTGTGCCATTGAACAACTGGGGAAACTGTCCCTAAGAGAGCAGAAAGCACTTGAGGTCCCGCAATGAATCCATGGATGAGTCAGTACTTATTCATTCATTCATTTAAAAAAAAATTTCATTCCACAAATATGTCTTAATCACTGCAGTGTAAGGCACATAGGGACAAAATAGAAGATTCCTGTCCTCATGGAACTTAAAAACAAGCAAACATGAACTGACAGACATGAACAGGTACTATGGAGGGTAAAGCAAGACGAGGGGATAAAGTGAATGGTGGTCCATTTTACTGGGGTGGTCACGGGGCGTCTCTCTGAGGAGGCAACATCAAGGGGAGACAAGCCCTGAGGATATCTGGGGAAAGATTTTCCAGGCAGAGGGAGCAGCAAAAAGTGCAGGATGAGTGACAGGAAGCTGAGAATCATAAGCCTAGCTAGAGCAGAGGCAGTGGGGAATGAATGGGGGGAGAAATCCAAGAGGGGGTGAGCAGCTTAGTCCTGCAGAACCATGTGGCTGGCTATCAATTCACAATGCCCACTGGTCCTCTTTGGCCCCGCTTATATGGAAGCTGCCCCCTTTGGACTTTGGAGACTCCAGTACTTGGGGTAGTAGCGTAGGGAATGACTTCTACTTTCCTAAGGCTTGATCTTCTGGGGTCACCTCATTTCTCCAAGTACCTGCATTCCATGTACAGGCTGGGAGACTCATGCATCTGGAGAATTCATTCATTCACCATTCATTCATTATGCAAATATTCTGAGCACTGCTCCGTATCTGGCTCTGGCTTGAAAGAGTTGACAGTTTAGAAGGAAGAACAGACACATTCATTGTTATCACCTGATGTGATCAGAGCTGTGATAAAGGGATTGTGGATGCTCAGAGGAGGCACTGGACCTGGCCTGAGAATCAAGGAGGGCTTTCTGGAGCAGAGGCAGTGAAGAAGGAGATAGGATACAGGATGGCAGTCCATGGAGAGGCCCCGCAGCATGAAAAGCTCAGAGGTGTGAGAGGCCTGTGGTGTTTGTGAAATACTCAAGAGGTGAAATCTCTAGGTGGGGCAGTGGGAAAGACTGAAATCAAAGATGTCAGAACAAGAGGGCCTTGCAGGCCATGGTAGAGACCACGCTGGGACACCTGGATGCCCATGTCAGCTCTGTCCTTGACTCATTGGGTGGCCTAACTTAGGCACCCCTAGTCCTGAAGCCTCAGTGGCTTCCTCTGTGAAATGGAGCAGTTTGGGTGGGCTGGCCCTGACATTCCACCAAGATCTCTTGTGTTGTCTGCCACTGTTCTTGGGGCCCCATAGAAAGAATGGGCAGGCCAGGGCTGTATCTTCAGCTGCCACATTCTCCGTGTGTTTCCCCTGCCCCTGCCATGCCTTCAAGTGTCCCTCATTGCACTGGGAGAAGGAGCTGGAGGAGACACCAGCATTTACCTTCCATCAAGATCCATTCGTAGGAAAAAAAGGACAGGCTGGGTGCAGTGGCTCATGCCATAGGCTCAGCATTTTGGGAGACTGAGGCAGGCAGATCACCTGAGGTCAGAAGTTTGATACCAGCCTGGCCAACATGGTGAAACCCTGTCTCTACTAAAACTACAAAAATTAGCTGGGCATGGTGGCGGCTGCCTGTAATCCCAGCTACTTGGGAGGCCGAGACAGGAGAAGCACTTGAACCCGGGAGGTGGAGGTTGCAGTGAGCTGAGATTGTGCCATTGCACTCCAGCCTGGGTGACAGAGTGAAAATCTGTTGAGAGAGAGAGAGACAGACAGAGAGAGACAGACAGAGAGAGAGAGAAGGAAAGGAGAGGAGAGAAAGAAAAGAAAAATTGTTCAGCAAGAGAGTGTCAAGTATAAGTTCCTCTGGGCCTCCCTCCAAGGCCCCTTCCCCTCTGATGAGTCTGTGTCTGATTAGTGGCTAAGAGGGGCAGGTACTGGACCAGAATGATCACTGACCTGCTGTGTGGCCTTGGGCAAGTCATTTGGCCTCTCTGAGCTTCCCTTTGCTCCCCGGAAAAGTGGGGTTACCCGGAATACAAACCCAACTCATTGGGTTGTTTTGAAGACTCTATTATATGTAAAGTTCTTAGCAGTGTCCATCACATATATCTCCCAAATGAGAGCTAGCATGCTGCTTGTTGTTTTTGGTGGGTATGGTGACAGGAGAGGTGAGTGTGCTGTCGGGTTGAAGGAGGAATTTTGCTTTGAAAGGGTTAAACTCGAACCAGCTGCTCCCAGTCCTGGTGATAAGGTTGGAGGAAACACAGTCCAGGTCCCCAGCCCTGTCACAGGTGGATTTATGAGGTGCTGGTCACTTTGAGTCACAGTAGGTGATCCCCGCAGACTGCGCAGGAAACATTCAGGGTTAGTGGCCAGGGGGGCCCAGGACTCTGTTGAAAGAATGAGACACAATGGAGAGAAAAAGAGAAAGCCAGGCTTCAGGAGTCCCGCAAACACCACACCCTGCCGAAGGAGAGAAGGGATAGATAGGGGGAAGGGAGAGACAGAGAACAGAGAGAGCCAGATGTCCAGTCAGGTGGAAACAGACAGTGAGCCCGAGGCAGAGACCGCTGGCAAAAGTAAAGGATGCAGGGACAGCCAGGCGGAATCGGGGGCAGAGCAGGGGAACCCGAGCCGAAGAAAGAACGAGAAAGCAGGAGCAAAGGGGTGGTCCTTAAGGGCCAGAAGGGGAAGAAACAGAGAAAGGGGGAGGAGAGGGGGGGAAGGGGGAGAAAACCGCGGACGCGGAGAGGGCGCCGGAGACGGTAAGGGTCTCCGGTGTCCGCGGGTCTGTACCTGCGCGCCGATGCGTACCTGTGGCTGGCCGTGGGCATGAGCACGTGTTCAGGGCAGTGCCGGAGGCGGGAAAGATGCCAGACCGCGGGGCTGCGGAACAGATCGACGTCGGGGACCCTGGTCTGGGCGACCCCCGCCCCTCTCCCCCGCGTTCCCGGGCCCGGAGCTGGTTAACGCACCGCCCCCGCCGCTCTGGCTCCTCCCCGCCAGGGCAGTGCCCCGGCTCCGCCAACGCCCTCACTCGACCTGGCGGCTGGCCTCGGGGCGGTCCGCGGGTCCCTGGTGGCCAGACCAACTCGCGCCTGGCGGATGCGCCCGGCGCGCCCAGAGCAGCCCCTGCGCCGCCGCTGGGCCGTGGGGCCTTGGGGCCGTCGGGCCGCCAGGGAAGCGCCAGCCGGGACCAGGCTGCCCAGATGCGGGCGCCACTCTGCCTGCTCCTGCTCGTCGCCCACGCCGTGGACATGCTGGCCCTGAACCGAAGGAAGAAGCAAGGTACGAGGGGTGGCTGAGTAGGGCGGCTGGGCAGGAGCACCGGGGCAGACTGGGGACGGGGAGTGGGGGTGGAGCTGGGGGCATCTGCCTGGTGCCTGGCGCCCTGGATCATTCGCTCCTCCAGATGGCTGTCAGCCTCACTTTAGATGGGGAGACTGAGGCTCCAGGGCGCCCAGTGAGTGAGCCATTGAGCAGGGTGGGCCAAGGAGACTCTCCCAAAAGGGAGGGAGTAGCAAGGCTCTCTGTAGTAGCCGATGGTCAGCATAAAGGACAGCTCCGTGCAGAGACAGAAGCCTAGAGAGCCAGCCTGGGGGGCACAGGGACTAGGAGACAGACTCAGTGGCTTAGAAGCCATTCCAAGCATCCCGGCTGGGTCAGGAAGTGACTTAGAGAGCCCTGGGCTGGGAGTCCAGATGCCCCAGTCCCAGCCCCATCACTCACCCTGACTCCTGGTGTCACTTCCCAGAGGGCAGTGATTCTCCATGGCCCACCTCTGTTGAGTTCAGCCAGACCTGAGACCTGAGTTCAGGTTCACTTATTCTAATAGAGAATGACCTAGAAGAAATCCAGCCCCTCTGAGAGCCTTAGTTTTTCCATCTTGACCTCTCAGGCCACTAGGAAGGCGAGCCAAGGTTCAGATTATAAATGTACCAGGGGCCCCATGCACTCTCACCTGGGAGTCCTATGCCGCAGCCTTGCTGTGAGAGTCAGAACATCCTCAGAAGGTGGGTTGGAGGCTGTCCCTGCAGACTAGGAGTTGGCAGAGCCTGTGCCCTGGAGAAGGGTAAGTGGGTGAGCAAGTGAACAAATCACCTGCCTGAGCTGGCCAGCCCTTTGGCTCCAGGTGCCACTCTTAAGATCTGCAGCTGAATGCCAGCCACTGTGCCAGGGGTTTTTCATGTTCTAGTCTCATCAAATCCCAACTACATCCTCATGACATAGGGGTCATCCAATTTTAATAAAGACTGGAGTTCCAAGGCTCAGACTGGTTTAAATAACTTTGCTGAATTATCCAGCTGGTGTCCTCTCTCTTTCCAGCCCTCATGTTGGGTCTGAGCAAGGATATATGGGAGGGAAAGGGAGGGAGAGGGAGAGAGAATGGCTTGCCCTCTGGGGCCTTCCATTTGTGTGAAAGCCCTACAGGGACCCAGTCACTACTGGAACAGAGCAGGAAGCAGAGAGGGGCTGTGGGAGAATTGGGAGGTAGGATTGGATGGGGTCGGGGAGATTGTGGCCCAAGAGGCTCCAGTTCTTGCTGGGACAGTAGGACGAGGGCATGGAGAGGCATGTGGTTTTCGGCTGAGCTGGGGTGAGTTTGGGACTCCATGGGGGCACTCCTTTGTGAATGGCCTTTGTTTAGTGGTTAGGGGCATAGGATCTGAAGCCAAGTAAACTGAATTCAAATCTCAGCTTCCTTAGTTACCAACTGAATGTCCTTGGATAAATCACTTTGCCTCTCCAATCCTCACTTTACCCATCTGAGGGTCCTTCAGAAGATGTCTGAGATCCTTCTCCATTCTAAACAATACCAAAATATCAGACAAAACCCCTTTCCTGTCATCAGCATGTATTTTACATAAGTGTCCTGCTCATAAGGAAGATTGTGGGCAAGACTGAGTTACTGTGTATGGGAAATGAGTAGCTGAGGACAGCGGCTCCTAATGGGTGCTCGTAAGTATTTATCATTCTCATTTCCTGTCCACTGTGTCCTTGGCTACTCACAATGGCCTAGTGGAGGGAAGGAAGAGATGCTTATTTTCTGGATGAGGTTCTGGGTGTGGTGGTCCATGCCTGTAATACCAGCACTTTGGGAGGCTGAGGCAGGCAGATCACTTGAGGTAAGGAGTTTGAGACCAGCCTGGCTAACATGGTGAAACCCCTGTCTCTACTAAAAATACAAAAATTAGTTGAGTGTGGTGGCAGGTGCCCGTAATCTGAGCTACTCGGGAGGCTGAGGTAGGAGAATCACTTGAATCCAGGAGACGGAGGCTGCAGTGAGCTGAGATCGCAGCACTGCACTCCAGCCTAGGTGACAGAGTGAGACTGTTCAAAAAAAAAAAAATGAAGAAGAGCTAGTTTAGAAGATTTTAAGATGCTACTCGGCTCAAAAAAGACAAAAAAGAAAAAGAAAAATGAAAAATTCCTATCCTACTCCTTTTGCCCCCTGCCCCATCTGCAGCTCACCACCACCTCCCCAGGAGCTCAGTGCGGAGGTAGGGATATGGCTGCTTCTTACACAGCTGCAATTTGGTGAAGGGCTGTTGGCAGCCCTCCCCTAGTACCTGATCTGTTGCCTCTGGAACACACGCCTGCCTAGCATCTACAGAAGAGGTAGGGCTTCATTTATTAGTTGGATGCAATGGCGATAGCTTTGGATTTCGGTCCCACCCCTGACCCAGTTGTGCCATGTGATCTTGGGTGAGTGGATCTTTTCTGTCCCCCGCCCATAGCCTCAGTTTCTCATTGGCACTGGAGTGGGGACCAGAGCTGGACAAACCCTTCCTGTAGCATATTTTGCAAGGCAGCCACAGGAGTTCTGGTCAAATAGGTTTGGGAAATGCTGGGTTTAGCAGATTTCTTGGCTGTGAGACTTATCAGAGCATGATGAAGAGGTAGAGATAGAGAATGTGACCCAGGTGTGGTGGCTCAAGCCTATAATCCTGGCACTTTGGAAGGCCAAGATGGGAGGATAGATAGCTTGAGCCCAGGAGTTCAAGACCAGCCTGGGCAACATGGCAAAACTCTATAAAAAATACATCATTTTTTCATATCTATACAAAAAACAAAAAATAGCCAGGCATGGTGGTAGTGCACATCTGTAGTCCCAGCTACTTAGGAAGCTGAGGTGGGAGGATCACTTCAGCCCAGGCCATCAAGGCTGCACAGTGAGCTGTGATTGTGCCACTCACTGCACCCCAGCCTGGGGGACAGAACAGAGCCTGTCTTAAAAAAAAAATGAGAGAGAAAGTGACCTTCCCAAACATATTACACATCAGAGACCATTTCTCATAAAACATCTGCTTGAAAAATTCTGTACACAATCCCTCAGGGTCCTACCAGCTTTGATCTTATCTAACTTTGGCGGGAGAATGTGTCCAGAAAACACCTGGGTATTGGCAGTGCTTCTTTCATTCATTTATTCATTCACTTGTTCACTTAACAAGTGTCACAGGGCAGCCTCTGTGCCAAGCTTTGTATTGGGGACTTTGGAGATACCAAGGTGAGCACCCTGGGCCAGTCCTTGGGGAGCTGCCAGTATAGAGGGATGACCCTTTCCCACCCTTCTCCAGCCTCCCCCATGCCCAAGTCTTTGGCCTTAGCCTTTGGCCAGGTCAGCAAGATCTCGAGGAATGACCTGCTGGGCCAGCATCTGCCCCGTCTGAGCCCCTCTGGGGCCTGGTTCCTGCAGACCCGCACTTCCTCAGCCTCCAGTGTCACCACTTCTTAATGAAACCCAATTTTTCTGTTTCTAAGAAAGAATGAAATAAAAGACTTGAGAAGGATTCTTGGATCTCAAGTGTCTCTTACAAAACAACATTTTGATTAATTAAGTGTAAGTGAATCAGAACCAGATGGGGACATTTTTTTGAAACTTGCTGGGGCATCCTGGCAATGGGACAGTCAGGCAGAGTGAGGAGGCTCTGGTTCGAATTCCTAGATCTGGAGGTCCATTTAGGCAAGGGGGAGATGCCAGCCTGTGACTGACTTTCCCTGACATCCAAGGCCTGCTGGGGAGGGACCCTCACATCCACATGGAGCTTCTGGATCTTTCTAGGCCTGAGCAAGCAAGGGGCAGAGTGAAGAGCCCTGGTTTCAAACCTTGATCCCTCTCCTGCCCTAACTATGTGACATTAAGCATTCATGCCTTCTCTGACCCATGCTTCCCAATCTGTGAAATGGGAACAATTACACCTACCTCTTTGAGCAATTGGGAAGATTTATTGCAGTCCAGGAGGAAAGAGGGCCAAAGGCACACAGTAGAGCTTCATAAGATTTGACCACTTTCCCTTTCCATTTTATAGCAGAGCAGACGTGCCCTGGACCAGGTGGGGAGTGAGGGTCTTATGCCTCTTGCTTATGGTGCGTCTGGAGCAATCCTTCTCCCCTCTCTGAGCTTCTTTTTGTTTATCATAAACTGACTATGGCAGTGCCCACTTCAGAGGCCTGTTATGTGGAGTATGACACTTCTTTTTAAATTGCAAAGCCCCTGGCTGGGCACAATGGCTCATGCCTGTAATCCCAGCACTTTGGGAGGCCGAGGTGGGTGAATCACCTGAGGTCAGGAGTTCAAGATCAGCCTGACCAACATGGTGAAAGCCCATCTCTACTAAAAATATAAAATTAGGTGGGTGTGATGGTGCATGCCTGTTAATCCTAGCTACTTGGGAGGCTGAAGCAGGAGAATCGCTTGAACCCAGGAGGCAGAGGTTGCAGTGAGCTGAGATCATGCCATTGCACTCCAGCCTGGGCAACAGAGCAAGACTGTCTCAAAAACAAAAAAAAGAGATTGAGACAATCCTGGCCAACGTGGTGAAACCCTGTCTCTACTAAAAATATAAAAATTAGCTGGGCATGGTGGCTCGCGCCTGTAGTCCCAATTGCTTGAAACTGGGAGACAAGAGATTGCAGTGAGCCTGAGATAGCAACACTGCACTCCGGCCTCTGAACAAAGAAAGACTCTATCTCAAAAAAATAAAATAAAATAAATTGCAAAGCCCCATGTGGAGGGCCAGGCAGGCAGCACTGTCTCCTGTACATGGACAGATGCACCAAGCCCTGGGCAAGCAGGAGCCATAGCTGGGCACAGACAAGGTATGCCCCCTGAGTGCTGGCATCCAGGTGAAGCCAGGTTTAGATGCAAGGGTAGTTCTGAAAGGGATTCCTACAGGGCAAGTGGGGGTAATGACTGGACATTGAGAGCTGAGGGAAGGGTGCTGGATCTTAATAGAATGTAACGTTGGGCCTTTTGACCTGGGTTGCTTCATAACGCAGTGGCTGGT